TTCCCCACCATCCATGAAGACGCACGAGCTGAAGGCCGTTCAACGGGGCGGTGGAGAAGAGAAGAGTCCACCACCGGGGGCCACCGGGGGTGAGAGGAGGTCGCCTGGGTGGTGTGGCCCTGATTGCGGAGACTGCTTTCGGTTGAAATCAGCGACTTGCGAAAGGCAAATGCCTTTTTTGTATGACAGTGTCCGACGATGAGTTGTTTGTGGCATGGAGTCAACTCATTCTCCGTGCTCATTCTTGAAGAGAGCGCCTTGCACTACAGAATCCAGAGCTTTTGGGTGCTCTACTATGACCATTTGTGACTGCTCTAGTTTACAGATGCGGTCTCATCTGGTTTGCAATTCGGTGAACCGTCCATGGTTGGCTTTCATCGCGTTTTCCAGCATATTTCTGGCGAGTCCACCAAATCCAAGTGCTTGGAGGGAGTGAAGAATCAGTGCAAACTGAATTCATGACACGAGAGAAGGTCCAGTCCTTCTTCTTCGGAAAGGAGGCTAAAGGAGGGCACCAAAAGAAGACACAGGTTGAAAATACCTTCAATCCTTCTTCGTTGATCGTTTGGGCTACGCATTTAGAACACACCAAACCTCGGAACCTGGAGATTTGTTGGCCCAAACGACCTGACCGAGTCACGTCGTCCGTCGAGTCCGTCGTAGGTTCCTGGCCTCACATCGATGAGCGTTTCTTGGAGGGCCGACGGAGGCACATCATTGAAGAGTTCCTTGGTTCGAAACGCACGGCATGGAAGATTTCCTTGGGGAATTGCAGGCAAGTGGGGGGATTTTCCAGTGGCCAAACGCATGGAATGGAAGGTAGATGATCAGTTTTGGCTACTGAGTAGCTTACCCTGGGTGGTTGATCCTGGGTGGCCTGCTGTGGTTGCATTTGGCAGGTGGCCCTCTTGGTTTCACCAGAGGTCGAACACGGGGGCCCCCCAGGTGAGCAGGGATTGACAAGTGCGGTGGGTTTTGCAATTCAACCAGTGTTGAACAAATCCATACAAATCCTCAAATCGATTCGCATCACTGCTTCTGTTTGTCACTATAGAGCGCCAGGCTACCTTCTTTATACGATTTATCACCGTCGCAGTAGCAGTAGCAGTACCAGTAGTAGTTATACTTATAGTGTTCTTGTTCTTGTTTTTGTTCTTGTTGTTGTTGTTGTTGTTGTTGTGGTTGTCGTTGTCGTTGTCGTCATCGTCGTCGTGGTGGTGGTGGTTGTTGGTAGAGACAAAAACAGCTGCCCAACATAGTTGTCACATGTTGCAAGTCAGGGATTTCAAAGGGACACTGTTAGGGATAGGGTCGAAGGTTTGGAGAGATGTTAGTAGCTGGACTTCTTGTCGTTGTTGTGGTACTCAAGTCTTGGTTGGTCTGCTTCTTGTTTTTTGATGTTTATTGGGGTGTTGTTCTGGAGGGGGGGTCAAAAAACAACGGGGCTGCAGATTTTGTTTCTAAGGGGTAGACAACAACATCTTTTGAGGGGGGGGTCCAAAAAACAACGGGGCTGCAGCTTTTGTCTCTAGGATGTGGTAGAGAGGTTGTAAGTAGAAGTTTTACAGAGGCTTAGCTGACCGGACTCTAGTACAACTACTAGTAGTACTACTACTACTGCTACTACTACTACTACTACTAGTACTACTACTACTACTACTGCTACTACGACGACTACTACTACTACTACTGCTATTACTACTACTACTACTACTACTACTACTACTACTACTACTAGTGATGCTAGGCTACTACTACTTCTACTACTGCTGCTACTACTACTACTGCTAGTTCTACTAGTACTACCACTACAACGATGACTACTACAACAACGACTACTACTAGTACTAGTACCACTAGTACTAGTACTACTAGTACTAGCACTAGTGCAAGCACTACCACTACTGGGTAAAAGTGACATGTTGGCTGGTTGGTTTTTGGGGGTCAAAAAACAACGACGGGGCTTCAGATTTTGTTTCCACCCCCTTGTAGAGACAAAGGAACAGGATATGTTGTAACGGGGCTGCAGTTTTTGTTTGTACCTTGTTGTTGTTGTGGTTGTTGGTTGTTGGTGGTTGGTTGTTGTTGTTGTTGCTGCTGCTGCTGCTGTTGTTGTGTCGTCGTTGTTGTAGTCGTAGTCACATTTCTCAGGTGACCGACTCATATTTCCACTGATCTTTGTGGATCACCTTGCGCCGTGCAGCATAGTTTCTCCACGACGACCTGCCCACACCCACGACAACGACGCTATCGACATCGCGCGCCAAGGTACAACTTCATTAAGGGCCTCAACGACAAGTCAGCCAAGGTCCTGGTAGTCGGCGCTGGCTTCATCGGCGTGGAATGGGTTACCGAGATCCAGCACTTCTTTCCAAATGCCACTGGGGTGATGAGGAAGAACTGCATTGCTTGGTAGATGTTCGTTCGTACTGGATTGATTTCATTTTGAAATGTCGCAAGAGCGGGTCAGAGCTGCAGTGCACTAGGGCCAGTTTGAAGATATTGTAGAGCTTGGCATACGGCGATGCCATAAGGGTTGTTGCTTTTGGTGTCGGTAGGTGTCTTGCAAGACAGTGTCGCAAAAACTACCTCACAGGTCCTTCAAGGAAATAAATTGCATCTGAAGTGCCCTAGGGCCTTTGGTCAGGTAAGACGTTGTTTCGAAAAGATCTGGTTTGAAGTCCTTTGAGGATTTGGGATTTGGGTTTGCACTCACTTTGAGGGCAAGGTGCAAATGACCCGTAGGTTTCGGTCGGGGTAAGCTGATACTGCCATGGCGAAAGCTGTAGAGAAGATTGTGGTGGGTGACCGTAGGTGCATGTGATCGCTCAGCACTCGCATGCGGTTTGTACTCAAAAACATCGGGAGGTTTTTCACGTTTCTTAGATTTTTTTAGCGCATTTTTTCATGTTTAGATACCAAAGAACATCGCATAGGTGGTCTTTCGCATATTTTGAACCATCGGAGCAACAAACACTGTAAAGACCGTTTTGTTCTATCTAACCTCGGCAAGCCAACAACCCCGGCGTTTATGAGACCTTTTGCATTAGGATCCAAAAGGATCCAAAAGGTGTGTTTGTGTGGTTTTTAAACAGCGTTTCTTACATTTTTGCTGTCCAAAGCACTGGTATCTATAAATACACTTTGGGGTATGTTGCTAGGAGTGATATGATGTTGTCTACTTTGCGGTCGCGGATTTGAAGATCATATTCTCACCGTCAAAACATGTCCAAGCATTTTCAGCAATTGTTTCCTGCAAAAGGTTTTGGTTTTCACATGTTTCCACCTTCTCTTTGGTCTAAACTGTGCTAGAAGACAGTCAAGGATGTATCCCAAATCTCCCACAACAGGGTACAGCGTGATGATTTTTTGACTGGACACTGGGCTTGAGTCCACCCAAAATGCAACAAGGATTGCGTGGACAGCGCATGGGTAAGGCTCTTTATAGCTTTTTCCCACTGGCCACCTGCAAAACCCACCGCGTCTGCGACCGTCTGCTTGGTGTCCTGAAAATGGTCCACCTGGATTTTCGACTCCAAGGTGAAGTTGACAATCATCGACTTCTTACCTCAACCCCTGGGGCCTTTGCCAGCAAAGGCGGCCAAGTACTGTGAGCCTTGGCGGCAGTCGTGGCAGTCGTTACGGAAACCAAAAAAATTGGGGAAACCGTGCTGAGCGACGAGCGAGGATTGAACACTTTCGTCCCACACACCTTGGCCCACATCATTGGCATGGGTAACAGACCCCCCTTGGCATACCATACAGCGAACATGGACACTGGGACTGAGTAGAGCGCCGCAGAGTGATGTTCTACATGATTTGCTTCAAGAAAAGAATCGGTCGCCGCTAGTTCCAACGGCTGAATGTCATAACATCAAGCGATTCCTTCTATAGACGGTTTTACCACATTTTACCTGTGATCCACGGGGTCTTGTACTGTATAAGCTGTTCTATTAATGTGATAATCAAGTTCTCTTCACTGCTCTGTGAATTTATGGTTGAGGTACCTAAAAACCATTGATGTATCGGGACCCCTTACACATAGACAGTTAGCGGCCATGAACTGGCTTTGCAGTGGCGGTTGCTTGATACCTAAATTCATCCCAGGTGTACCCAAATTTGGGTGCAGAAACTTCCCATTTCATTTGGAAGGTGCTGGTTTGTGGAGGAGAGATGTTGGATCCAGGATTTGAGAAAAATCTCCTGAAGTCAGCAGCAGGCCGCACTCCCAGAAAGATAACAATATATCATATATCAACATGTTCTAGCAAGTTGACCTATCAACTTCTTGCCATATTGGTGAGACTCCACCCAGAGTATTCGCAATAAGTCTCATGGGTTATCAAATAATGCAAAAGGGGCAAATGTTTTCTGTAAGCGTCACCTGGGAAGCAAACACCTGAATCTTGGTCTCTCCGCCCAGCAAAACCGCCGACTGGAACATGCACGGGCACGGCGACAGCCGAGCTCGAAGACAAAGGCTGGAAAATAGGAGGCACGACGCATAATGTGGACTGTTGATTCATAGAGCCCCCGCTACCAGCATGGGATTCTATGAATCACCAGTCAACATGAATGCACCTGCCCACTCCCCAGTGTGCCTCATGGGGGTTTTCCCTCACGCACAAAAAATACCATCACTGGGTGTACTGGGTGTGCCCCATGGGAAACATGAAGAAACACATCCATTTTACTGTATATCCCAGACACTCCATGTATGGTATATATATATATGTCTACATTGACCCCACAACCACCCCAACTGATCGGCATATATGGCAGTCCCATGGAGTGTTTGGGTTATACAGTATACAGATCATATGTGTTTGAGGAGAAGTACATGTGTCAGAGGCCATATTGCATTACACACTCCAGCGGATTGACAGTCGAAGTCGCACAAGCCCGGTTTTTGAAGGATGAGGGTCTTGGCCAGTCTGGGCATTCAGAATCAACCCACCGCAAAAACACACAAGTCAAGACACTATGGCCACAAAACTTAGGAGAAGTACATGAACAAGGTGGGCATCAAGCAGTTCTACAACACCAAGTACGATGCCAAGAACCCTGAGTTCTGGAAGAGCATTGAACTGCCAGATGGTGTGGACAAGGACAGAACTGGAAGCGGACCGGAACTCGGAGGTGCTCCAGTTCTACCCAACAGGGAGATAATATATATATATATAATTGTAATATATACATAAATATATGAATATACAGCAATATATACCTGGAAAATGCTGGAAAGCCATCATACCCCATTTTTGGGGAGTCATGACATGCCATGACCATGCTTTTCGGTCACTACGCAGTCCAACATGTTGGACTGTTGGACACATACGGTTTTGCTACGGGTAGGCCTGCCATACTCTTTTGATTTGACCATTTTTTTGGGTCATTACGGGTAAAACCAGTATGTGGACGAAAATACTGAACTGGGACTGTACGACTTTTTCCCATGATGACCAGAAACTTTTGGGTATTTGGCTTTCCAGACATAAATATATAATGTTGAATCTGCAACTGGTAGCCCGAATCTATCAACATATATATATATACACATACAGCTTGCGCACGCCGCGTGCACACAAGATCTAGTTTGGCAGGGACTTTGAGAGGCCAGTCTCAATGTAGGTGAGCACTGAAAGTCCAATGTCCGGGTGTTTTTTTCCGTCAAGATGTGATTCACACACATGTCGCGTTGGTACAGACCGACGCCGAGTTGAGCGACAGAGACATACTCCTCTCAGACTCCTCTGAGAGGAGTATGTTTGCATTGGTGTGAAGGCGGGTCTTGGGCTCGGGCCGGGGGCGGTGTTGAGCCCGGTGTTCGGCCTTTTGAGCTCTAGCCAGCTCTCGGTTGAAGTGGGGCCCGGTGGTGTTCGGTGAAATCGGAACCACACCAAGAAGATGTAGCATTGAAACGGTTTCGTATTCCGGTGAGGAGAGAGATCAGGACCTGAATCATTCAGGACCTGATGTCAGCCGGCCTTCTCGCCCTGATTGATCTTGGGTTTCTGAAGCAGTCAAAAGAGATCAAGTGAAGACATGAGTCTTGCGTACAACATGTTTGCAGTTACTTCTCCAGGTTTGTTAGAAAGCCACGAAAAACCAAGTTGTTCCAGACGAGAAGGTTGGGTCTACAGTTATTTGTATCCAGCTGTCTGCCTCCCTTCAACCAGTGGCTGTTCAACTACAGTAAGTCTTCCTACCATTCCCTTCAACCAGCTCCGTCTCCCAGCAGGGTAGTGTGAGTTCACTACAAAAACCCTCCTCCAATCTGGTGGCCATTCATAACATTTGACATTCATGGACCTGTTGTCGCGGAGGCATCAAACTATTTCATGCCCCCGGAGACCCTGAGTGAGAAGGGCCCCGGTGGAGGTGGTTGGATTTTGATGGCACCTTGGAGTTGATGGGGTCCTGGGGTGAAAGGTGGGGGTGAGAGTCGGTGATAATAATCCAAGGATGGGGCAATGATTTAGGGCGTCTTTTTCACATGTTCTTCTTTTCTTTCAGGAATATTGTTTCAGATTCGCTTTTCGTTTCTTGTGCTTGCTGCATTTCTGTTTTTGGTGCCTTTGCTTTTGCTTCCTTTGTTTTCTCTTTTTGTTGCTTTTATTGTATATTTGCTCTTTTTGGTTCGCTCTGGGAGGCGCTGCACCCTCCCCTCCAACCTAGCACGACAAAATTTGCACTATTTCTTCCACTTGCAGCACCTGCCGCAAAAACCATCAATTTATTGAATGTCGACCATGCTGCACTGCAACGAAGTCTGCACTACATCTTCTCAAGCAGACTCATGATTGCTCTTCGTTTGTTCCTTTGCTGGAGCTAGGCTGGCATCCAAAGCAAGGACGCCCCAACTGCTGTAAATAGCAGCGGGCTGTGAGGCGCCAAGATTCCGAAAATGATCCCCCAAAAGATCGAAATCAATACCGGTACTGCACCCATAATCCAAGGGGTTTTCAGCAAAGAGAGAGTAACACCACACTCACCGGTGTGTTGTAGCTGCTGAGGTGGCAGGCATTGGAGATGTGCCCCCAACCTTGTGCTTACAGAGCAAAGAATAATAGACCTTCAAATATACTTGTGCCCAAAAGGCTTATTGGGTTCCCAAGCCGCTCATTTATGCAATGAACAACCTTCTCGCGTCAGGACCACCAAAAAGCAGCAGCGCAGCTTTGCCTCACCAGACTGACTCCTTCAGACTCTGGTCCATCTCTTTCTTACGTCCCGCGACGTCTGACTGAGGACATGAGCTTGGCTGTGAAGACACGGGAAGGAAAGCCTTGGGGTTATGATGAGAAGGGTTTTCCCCGGATTTATGTGCCTTGGTTGTTGGAAGAATGGGTGGTGTGGTCAGGGGTCGCACATTTTGTCAAGGCGAGGCTTTGTTGTTGTGATCTCTTGGGTCATGATTTGTTTTTTTTTGGAAGGCACGTGGTGTCAGTGAGTGACTCAAGCAGCTGCAATGCTTACAAGCGCGTTGTGCAAACGCAGCTCACAAAAACAAAACGCAGTGCACTACAGCACAGCATCTCTGGTTTCAGTCTCAACTTCACCTATTTGAAGTCACCCCTAGGTACTGAGTACCCCTATTTGCCCCACCCTCATGGCTTGATCTCAATATCGGGACATAGATGCATGCAGATCAAGTGGACATAGATATCATAGATCCGAACCTGAACCATAATATGAGCGCCCAGGCTGCCCTAAGTCCCCCATGGGATGGATCTATTTGAATCCAACAGGTCAACAGTTCCGTTTTGCCGCTTGAACACACCATCGGTTTTGCACTCCGGTTTCGATCAAGGCGGTGGGCGACTGCAACTACTCCTGCGTGGAGGAGCCCGGGAAGAAGCCTGACGAGTGGCCGATCCCGCCCATCCCCAAGATTTCCTATCCCGGTGAAGAGATGTGCCTTGGAAGGGAGTACATGAGGACCTGGAATTTTTGTGCGAATTCTTTTGGGAATTCTGGGAGTACATGATGAAGATTCATGGCCCTGGGAGTCCAAGCACCAGTTACCGAAGGGGTGCTTCCTTTGTTCAACGGGTGACCCGTTCCGAACTTCAGGAGCACAATACACATACTCCAGGTGTAGATGCTGGTTGCGACGAGGGAAATGGACCACCTGGATGACCTGGACGACCTGCGTTCAGGAACCAAGGATGGTGGAGTTGAATGGAATTTAGAGGGTCTTACGACCGATTCGGAGGGAAGGCGAGGTGGAGCCCCCTGACGCAGGCAAGGCAGGTTGCCTCAGGTTGCGAACCTGCAGGTGGTTGAACGGTTGGGAATTCAGGTCTCCAATTGGAGACCTACGGCTTGTGTGAGGGTTTGTGATGTACTATTGCGGGCTATGATGTCTCTGCATACGATCCGATCTGAGCCATTGTAGAATTGGAGACTAAGGTGGAAGTAAGCTTGCCTCATCTCTGTGGAAGTAAGCTGCAGAAAGAGATGGAGAGTTGCCGCGATCACATGTCATGTAGGAATATGTAAGATACTCGTCACTTAAAAAAATATGAAATTTGTCACTGAAGCAGCATTCTGCTCAACTCATTATTAAGGTATGTATAATATATATATATAATTGCCTAGAAGCATATACAGGATATCTCAGAATCACTGCAGTTAGCAAAAGAACAAGATTGGCTCCACCTCAATAAGACAGTGAAGTGAATTTATTGAATTGATCTTTTCTCAAAACAGTTAGAGTCTCCAGCAATGCGTCCAGGCAGCAGAGGTCTTCAGGATGTGTTCCTCCTTTCAGACCCACCCTGAGAGTGCGTTTCCGTTGGAACACCTTGCAAGTACAGCGCACAGGAAGCTTTTGTGCAAGAGAACGCAAGTTTTGGTCTTTTTTCTTTTCTGCGTTCACTCCAAGGTGCACCGTAGCGTGCAAGAACATCGAAAACATCGACAAGATGCTCTACAATCGCAGAAAGAGACACTGCTGCGGATCGAAGATTACGGTACAGAACATGCAGCTCAGTCTGCGCAGAGAGCCTCCGGATATGATGGTGCAACGCCAAGCACCCCAAGTAGTTGACATCTCCGGGTTGATTTTGCTTCAACCAGAGTCCATTGTGGGTGCTATGATGCAGAACCCCTTTTGAACGGTGGAAGCCTCCTCACAGAACTTAGTTGAATAAGATATTTGGTATTCGAAATGGATCCGCATCCGTTTTCCTGGTCTGCGATTTGGTGTCATCCAATCTAATTCGAGCTCTAAATTTGGTCTAACATGTGACACGTGTTCTAAATTCTCTTTACAAAGACATCCGCCCCTGGCGGCTGGCCGGCCTGGCCCCTCACCCCCACATATCCTCTTCATTTCCTCTTTTGGGCCGTTTCATCCTCAATTCTGTCAGCAAGTGGCCGTACTCCCCCGAATTCGCAGCACTCAAGCCCCCCCCAGTAGGTCGCACATGAAGACCATACCGTCCGCAGGCATTGGCCCTGGGGTGCCGGGATGTTCGCCACATCTTTGGGCCCGGATGACGCTTGTTTCGTGGCGGGTGCCAATTGGAAGAAGAACTCCGGCCTCATGTGCGTTTGGGGCCAGGTGGGGCGTTCGGTCGCGTGTTCGGTCGCGTAACCGCCAGAGCTCTGCGCGGCTTTGGGGTTCGATTCGATGCGCTGCCAGGTGATGTCGGGCGGGAAGCGAAGATGCGGAGTTGGGGTGTCAGCCGGTCAGCCGTTGGAAACGTCACGGGCGCTCGTTTCAGGTCGGACGGAGCTTGGTGTCCTCGACGTCGTGTCTTGCTACAACCGTGCAGATATATGGAACCCTCCGTCGCGTCGCGACGTGCACGTCGTGCACGACGTGCATGACGGTGACGTTCTTGCAGGTGTGCGCCGTCCAGAAGGAGTTCATTGAGGCCACGAAGACTGATGAGCGCCTTGGAAGTGAGGGATGGGATGCGCCTGTCAGCGCAAGGCACCATTTTTGTGATCAGATGCTCTGATTTCTGAGGAGAAGTACTGTATACCCTGGGAGATCAAGAGCATTCTTCAAATACCTTACGATGGTTTGACTAGGTGACTCCAAAAAGAAGTTCCTTTACTTTGGTCCTGGGTGGTTCCCCCCAAAATAGTCAGTGGACTTCAAGGGTATATATATAGACCTATGTTACACAGATAGCAGATACATTTTGCACGAAGAGTGCTCGCCTAGCAGCTAGCAATCATTATTTCATATCATTGGGCCATTTCTGGCGCTGCTTTCTTGGGGAGAACCCAACCTGTTTCACAACACTCACGCTTTCTCAACCAGCTGGACATGCTGATTGGGGTTCCCAACCAGCTGGACTGACCAGACTCTATCAGATTGAAACCACTGCGACTGACCATATCTCTCTGACAATTGATGTACAGTCAGTAAGGACCATTGGTCCGCATTAGGGCTATTGGGAACGTTTTCAGGTTCACTATATATACAGTGGTTTCAGAGTAGACGGCACAGACCCCAAGATGTCCTTTAGATGGGGGTCCATATAAACCACCTCTTGGGGTCTGTGCCATCTACTCTCAATCCACTATAATATGTCCTTCATGGAGTGTCGATATCCCCAAGATCGCTTTCTCAGTGACCGAAGACGTTGAGACTCAGCCCCAGATCAACAAACTTGTTTAAACAAAAAGAGGTAGACCTGGAGCAAAGCATTGGACCCGAACGCGGTTCCCAATCGAAGCCGTTTTCGACACCAAGACCCAACCTTTCAGGGGTCGATGTCCTTGCTTCGAAGCTGCAGCTCTCCGCATCCGAACCCAAACGGCGGCGGAACCAATCGGCGACGGGACCAGGTGCGCGTATGGCATCATCGGCAGAGGCATTTGGTACTTTGTGCACCATACGCCTGTGCACTTATGGGGCGGCGGCCCGCGATGGGGTTACTGACCCAAAGAGTGGATTGACCACAGTTCCGGGGGTGGGGCAGACCCCCCCCCCAATTTTTCGGATGGCCAGCATCCAACGGTCCAAAGGCCAGGGATTGCTTGCTGAGCAGGTGATGTTTCATGCTTTTCTTCCTCCTTTGTCGTGCATGGACGTGCACATGTTGCGAGAAGTTTGACAAAGATTATTCTTCCTGATCAAAGCAAGACATGGAACCCTCAAAGTGCCGCTGTTCGCAGCGATCAGGGACTTCGGGGAGACCTTTTCTCCATCTGCACGAAAGGCTGTGCAGGTGTGTGGTCATGCCCCCAGACAAGTGATCAAGGAAGATTGATGAACATGCTGCCGACCCGGTGGGAGTGAGGTAGCGTGGAGCATGCTGCAGACATTCGGGTGCAGACCAGGGGGGTTAGCTGGGACATTGAGGATTGTCTTCTGGCTTCTCTGAAGGTCAGATACAGCCGTAGGGGCTCCAAGTACATGGTAGATTTACCTGCCAAAGCCTACCCTCAGCACCTTCAAATGAGATCATTGGAGCCCACTCTCGCAGCTACCCTCGCAGCGGTCTAGGACGGACCTGACCATGTTGATCTAGGCAACCAAGCGGACCAAGGGGTAGATGGCGGACCTGCCTAGAGCAGCCTTCCAAAAGATCCAGATCCAACGAAAAGGATGGTCCCCACAGGTGGAAAGATGCGCACTTCTACACTACCAGCACCTTCCAACTGGTCACCACCGGAAGCACCCACACTACTTGCATATCCCTTTTGAAAAACATCCCTTTGAAGGTCCAGGTGTAGATTTGTTTTGGAGTGACATCGTTTTTGTTTTTAAATAACCAATTTGCCCCTCGATGCCCCAAACAACGAGGGTCAACGAAGGTCAAGCTCCACATGTGGAGGACCTAGTTTTCAGAAACTGCTGACGATACATGAATCGTCTATAAACGAAAATTGACCAGAATACAGTAATCAAATCATCAATAGATCGATCATGTCATAAATCAAGAAACACATTTATATGTAATTACATACAAACAACACATATATATATATAGTTATATAAACATATGTATATACTTATATTGTATATAGATGTTTATTGTACATATGTATGACATGTATACTGTACATATATAATGTACAGGTATAATCATGCATATACAATCATGTAATCTCGCTTCTCCTAGTCACATTGACCATCACGCGCTTTGTCTCTTGCAAGCTGGGCTGAAACAGCTTCCGAACGGCCGCCGGTTCCGTCACAACGACCACGGCACCTGGGTGTTCGGCATGCCTCCTTCTCAGCCTGGCACTCAGGGCGCTCAGGGCGGGCGCGGCCTGGGCGCGCCTGAGCGAGGAAGACTCACCACTGAACGACAGCGGAATGGACCTGAGTCAACCGTGTTATTGTTGTTTTTGTTTTTCAATAGCTCGACTGGTGAGCAATCCCTTCATGCCACGGCCATACAGCATCATACAGCCATGGGGCAACCACGTATATTGGTTTCAATTTCGATGGCACCTTTCCCCCGGTCCGACCCTCTAGATGAGGCTTCACGTGCCCACGAAACTTGAAGATTGTGCCATTTGTGAAACCCCTGTACTATCCACTATCCATCACATTACTTGGGAACGGTCCCAAACAGAACCCACCTCCTCCATCCGGACGTCCTCCATCCCATCTTCTCTCCGATCCGCGGAGCCGCTCCCGAGTGTCGCGGGACGGGTTGACCGGAGCGGTTGACCGGTTCGGAGTGAGAAACGCGAAGGAATCTGGATGAATGGGCTGAAGAGCCGCCCTTCTCTGAAGAGGTTTGTCCATATATATATATGCATATATATAATATATATAGTATATATATATATTGCATATGGTGTCTTAAGGAGTTTAGTCGAATGTTTAGATCGAACGTGTTTGTTTCAATGACACACCTCCTGGACTCTCCGTGATGAAGACATCCTTTTTGTAATGACATCATGACCATGGCCATGTGTTTCACGGTGAGATGCCAGATTGGTGAGATAAACATGAGTTGTGCGTTGGCAGCCGACCAGTGGCTTCCTGTGTTAATGTGTAAATGCTCATGGTCCTGGAAGCTTGCATAACATAGAACGCTGCAAACATCAATGGTTTCTCTTTACAATCAACAAATAGCCAGAGATGGCAAAGTTTGGGTTTCCTGAAACCTAGGGACTAGGGAAAACCAATGAGTCCAAGAAACCAAGCAAACACCAAAAGAACACACCAAGCGCAAAAAGAACAAACAAGACCTAGCAAATCTGATGCGCCTGGTGGCCTGCTTTGGAGCCTTTGTTGCAACCTCTACCTTTTTTCTTCTCCAGAAGTGTGCGATTTGCAAAAAAGCAACAACCAACAAGCTGAAGAGTGTGTCGCTCCAAAGGTTAAACCAGGAATTTCTTGGTTGACCAGGGCTCCATCCAGCTATTTCATTGACCCATCCCCAAGTGATGACATTGATCGACCGCCCCCGGGATCCACCGTCCGTGTCGATCGATCCAGGCGCCGAGTGCTGATCATCGGCGGGAGCTTCTCCGGCTTGGCGGCGGGCCGCGACTTGGGAAGTCACTACTTAGTGGCTTGGCCATATTGGGGGAGGTTTAGGGTGATGTAGTTGCAGGAGGACATACATTAGAAGGAGAAGTAGTAGGATGTAGGAGGTGCAGGTGGTCGTAGACGACATGATTTGCTGCGTCCTGAGCGCCTATTGGGAGGACTGGATTTCTGGTTTAGGGTTGGTCTCAAATGTGGGTAAAACATGGTACAACATAAGGCCATGTGATCCAACATCGAACACGAAATCCCTAGTGACTGCACTCCACCGGCTGCACGGTCTGGCTGCCTAGGCTGCCCCCACCGTGCGAAGGGGCGACGACTCCGGGCAGGTTGGGGGGTCCTTCATCGGAGCCGTCCTCATAGGGAGCCGAGCCGTTCGGAGCTGCAGGGAGTTCCCCAAACCCAGCGACCTGGAGACCTCCTGACCTGCAGACCTCAGGTGACGATCATTGACGCCAAGGAGTTCCGAGAGTCAGTGACGCCGTTGAATGCATGAAGCACCCAGAGTCAGTGACTCACCATTCACCATTTCGTTGGATGGGATGGATTTTGCTAGACTATTTAGAACATGACACATGGGCGAAAGCACCTATTTCTTTGGTCCCAGAGAGGTCAACAAAAGCTCAGCCATATTATGACATTTGTTTCCGGGTGAAGCACCAATGATGGCGCTTCGCTGTTTCCAAAGGCTTCTTTGAAGGTCTGAAACCAAGCTCCAGTCGACTGTCAGACTGCGCTCGTGAGCGGTCACCCTTTGGCTTCAGGAGTATTTCGAGTACACCCCGGGCATTTTGCGCGCCTATGTGAAGCCTAAGCACTTGGATGCTTTGACCTTCACTCTGCAGCCTGTCATCGAGGTCAGGGTACGATAGATGTGATGGTTTTGCCTCCCTGAAAGTAAAATGTGCCATATGCACCACCCGAAGGAACGTTCATGCATGGAAAACACACTGTAAGTGGGTCTATTTATTAACCACCCTTTAGGTGGTGCTGGTATAAATCATGTACAGCAATCCGCAGTTGTTGGTTTGGACTTCCAAGACTTGCATCCTTGTGGCACTGGTTGCAGGGAGAATGTAATTCTTTCAGTTTTCCCACGTGGAGACAAGCCTTCAAGACTTGCGTGCCCCTCAAGATTCGCATGACTCCCATGAGGAGGATTCGGACCCCCAGGCCTGCCACAAGTCGGAGGTTTCAGCGGATGTTTCAACTCACATGTCGCATGGATTCGCATGGATCATCGCACGGAGATGTTCCTGATGCGCTCCAACTTCCACACCGGGATGTTTCTACTTTTCAACCTGCCATATGAGTCATATGAGTCATATGAGGTGCTGCACATGTGTGCAGCACTTTGCAGGTGTTGACATGTGACAAACACCTCCCAACCAATTTTGTGCACGATCATAGCTCCACAACTAAGAGGCGACTGACCGCAGTGTTGCGACTGCTTCGTTCTGTGTCTCCCGCCAGACGCGCATGGGCTGCAAGTACATTTGGGGCGAAGTGAAAGAGCTCAACGGCGCAGAGAAGACTGGGCTTTGCTGAGCAATTGTTTATTGAATTTGTTTGGTTTTCAATGATCTTAAACTCAAATTTGTTAGCCCTTTGCAGTAGACCTTTCTGTTAGCTCTTCTCTTTAGCTTGCATTTGAAGTAAATACATTCATGCGATTCATGCTTGTAGGCCTTTTATAGCGACTTAGATTCGAATTTCATGCTCCCTCCGGCGTTTACTTTTCCCTCCGGCATTTACTTTTCAGCTGATAGCCTTTGCTTTCCTCAGACGACGGTATTATATTTATTAGCTATAAATAATCCTGGTTATCCTTTTCATTGGCTTTTATTCAAATCACATTTGCACCTCAGACGACGGTATTATAATCGAATATAATCGTGGTTATCCGTTTCACATTTGCATTCTTGGGTGGGAATCATTGAATTTGATCTTCAGCTTCAGCTGTCCGCAGATGGCTGAGCTTGTGACACCTAGCCCTGCCAAAGGCAGGAAGCGTAAGCCATGGGCATTTGTTGGTTTGGAAGAAGTGGGCAGTGATGTGTCCCTGCGAACGACGCGACAGCAGTGGCTGCAAAAGCACAATATGGTTCACAAAACGCCCACAAGCTCCACTCATGATGGCTGCAAGACATTGATCGGTGGCTGCCACTCGTGTACAACATTTGACAAGCAATATTGCTCTTCCTTTGACGCTGATGGCCGCTTGAGAGTTGAGGAGACAGGCAGTTGCACAGAGCTGCCCAAGCAGTCAAGTTGATGCGCCGAGATGGTGTTCCTGAGAACAAAATACCGGCTCCGCTGCAGATGAAGAACCAAAGGTACACAGCAAGGGCAATATCGGAGCATTCGAACCAAACCTTGCAAGATTCGGAGCTCTCTTCGTTCCTGGTGGACTTTACAGAAAGATGTCTTTGCACAAAGATTTGCCAATTCTTTTGGAGATCTCAAATCGTATTTAAGCCACATGGCAGAAGATGGGTCCTATGGAGATGAATGCACGCTCCAGTGTGCTGCTCATTTGTTCCTTCGCCAAATCCAGGTGGTTTGTAAATTTGTGCCAACCCCAGCCATGACCGAGAATTTAATCCTCCAGAAGCGGCTTCACCCGACATTTGGGGGCCTGATCTCTACTTGGCGCTTGGTGCCTGGAACTACTACGAGGCAACGGCCCCCTTAGTGCAGCAGCGTGCCGGCTAAGCCGCAAATGTTCCAAGTCAGATTTTGCTGTGGGCTTGTGCTGTGCTGTGTTGAAGTTGAATTGAAGCATCCAGCTCATCCATGGCTGTAGATTGAAATAGATTGACCAAGCTAACATTCGAAAATAAGTTTCTTGGGGACTCCAGTTGCGTGTCGCGAGCCCAGAAGAGCTTAAATTCAGTTTTAATACAGCAAAGCATGTGGAATTCAGCCATACCCATTTCTTATTTCACTTCTTGATTTTCCATTTTCCACTCAAGCATTCATATTTGTCAGTTTTCCTTCATAGAACCTTTTTTGGCGGGATGTCACAACAAAATGGTACCTGATCAGATTGTTCAATGCCCCCATCAACAGATTCAATGGTGGGATGCTCAGTGACATCCATCTAGGGCGTTTATCAAGCAAAACATATCAATCAATATTCCAGATCCAACATCTGCACACCCTCTTTTCGAGATCCGCGACCAACGCAACGAGGAAGACTGCGACCTATAAGCCGATCTTCACCAGCGAGAGGGACAGACTAACTACATGGCAAAAAATGGGGCATGCGACGTGCTTCTGGGGAAACACAACTTGAGAAATCAGTGCTTTCCCGTAGTTGCCCATTTTTTGCAGAGGTTTTTCAATGATTCCCAATACCCGACAGCCCATGGATACAACTAATATGGAACTTCGCAAGGAAGCATCCACCGGAGCAATGCAGGATTCCCTGCGTTTCGACCGCTGTATGGCATGCTACCCAACTTTGGGTTCCCACTCAATTGAAAAACATATTTCTGGATCATTGAATGGGTCAATGGGTCACTAAGAGACTGCCCTGCACTGCAAATTGGACCTTTGCAATGGACGCCCATTGGAGGATTTTGGTTTGACTTGTCATGGAAACCCTGAGTGAGCCCGAGTGAACTCATATACTTACAGTATATGGTTTGAGTCTTTGGCAAATCACCGGTTGTTTAATATGGGGTTCCGACAAGTTGAATCTCGTAAGAAAATGCTGTTTTTTTGACAAACTGATCACTCAGCTAAGCAACTTTTGCATGTGGACAACATGTCGCTTGCTGATGCCAGTGTCAGGTCGTATGATGTATATTGATATATTGATGTGTCACCACCACTTTGGACAACCTCTCGTCCAGTGGTTGGGTTTGGTGTTCGGGTTGCCCTTCTTCGGGCCGTGTCGAGAATCCAGGAGACCATTGACTTCGACTATTGCATCATTGCAGCTGGTTGCAACTTCGGGCCGTTCCATAAGCCGCTTGGTGGGCGATATAAAGCTCAAGGGATCCACGCCTCCAGGTACCTACATGAAAGTGTCTCCAACTACCTTGTCAGAGGGTATGTGGATCCATAGGGGAGACGATATCAAATGGACTGCCGCTCTCACCATTTTTGACCAGACCCACCACTTCGCTTGGGGCTTTACAGGGTGATCGCCGCCCAACGGATGGCGCAAAAATTTGGATAATATATATACATATACATATATTATTATAGATTATTAATAATATTACTACTATTATTATTGTTATTTGATTTTATTTGTATGTGTTTTCCGGATTTTTGGTGTCCCTTGGGTTCCCCAACACTTCAGCGTTCTGAGCCAAGCTAACGACGATTTGCGCGTTATCAGGTGTTGAGCAGACTTGGGATCCTCAGTTTGTTGAACATACATGAAATGGACAAAACATTCAGTTCAGTCCCTTTGGTGAGTTTTATATCCGTCTTTGGAAGAACTACGGACTTGGGGCCCTCATGGGACTTCAAAAAGGACCAAAGCAACATCGGCTTGTGCTACTTCTCAATGAAGACCTGTCAAGACTAGTCCCTACAGGTCAAAGACCTCATTGAACTGGACCAACACTACTCAAGGAGGTAAGAGACCTGGTTTTATTGGGTATTTGGACTTGTAATTAGGGAGTGGACATCAATTCTTTTTGAGCCACCATCTTGGAGAGGCGATCCACTTGCTCCGTGAAACAACTTGGTTATGACGATGACTGGTGATGTGAATTGAGTAGCGTTTCTTTTTTTGCCTAATATTAGTCTATGAAGGAGTTTATACAAAGGTGGATCTGCTCTTGATGCTGCATAGGCTGTTCTGCGTGGGGGCGGAAGTTTGCGTAGGCTGTTCTGCTTGGGGAATCATAGTCGACCGATGTCGAACGCGTAGATGCCTCGACAAAGCCCTCGCATAGGCTACCTCACGCACTTTTGACCTCTGGCGTAGGCACTCGCGTATACATGCTCCCCAGTTTCCGCCCCAAACATAAAACCACTCAATTGGTCTGGGTCCATTTCTTCTTTTGCCTTGGTCCGGCTTTGTATTCTTCATCTGAAACCCAAATTTCCACGGACAGATCCACCCCCAAACAGACCCCACTTCGTCGTCCTTCATCGCGCGGAGCTTCGGGTGTCGACCTTGCTTTGGGTCGCTCACCCAGTGAGGGTGCAGTTGGGACCTACCATCCAAGGTGCCCCAAATCAGTATATAAGGACTCCGAGTAGGGCCGTTGCTAGTAGGTTGGAGGCCCCATCGTGAGTAAGAAAGGAATCCAAGGTGCGGGACCAACCTGATGGGTCACCAATCGAACCATTGCCCCCTGGGCATGGGCCCGAAATCCAAACCAACCCTCTACTGGTTGACTGGCCATGATGTGAACACCCAGGTGGGGCACACGTCTCGGCCTAGGTGGGGCGAATCCCTGTGGTTTCCCACCATCCATGAGGAAGCACGACCTGAAGGCTGAACAGTTGCGCACAGGGAATTGAAGTCGTGGGCGGGTCGGCTGGGTGGCAGCTGGAGTGAAGCGGCTCGCTGAGAGTGGGCCTTTGCGAAGGAGACCTGCCAACCTGAAATATTGGTGGCTTAGGGCCTAGGGTTTGTGAACGAATTACAGCTAACATCATGCTATAGAATATAGGGCTTGGCTTGGCTCATGCATGGGTTACAACAAATCTTGGGCCCTCAGAGGCCCTCGAAAAACAATCTTGTCTAAAACACCACGCAGATTACATGGGGGCAAGTGGTGGCGGTGATGTAAACTAGGACCAATGTCTTTCGTATCCTTTTGTTGGCTTTGGTCACATCCAATTTTGCTGGGGAAGTGTGCGCCTGAGCTCAATAGCATTTATTTGGCATCAACAGTAGTCCGTAGTGGTGGACCAAGGCTCTCCCAGCATTTCAAAGCCTGTGGGCTTGGAAGCCTTTTTTGCCCTTTTCGACCCTTCCCTTGTTCGACCAGCCCTTGGCTTTTTGGAAGAACGGCAATGAAGGGAGGCCATCGAGAACACGGTCCCCACCCTCCAACAAATCTCGTCCTTCGAGGGTTGGGGTTCTTTGTTTGGGATTGAGGTTGTTCAGGTTTGGGTTGGGACATGGTGTTTATGTAGTTGATACGTATATTGTGGAGCATTGGTACAATATGTATTTTGTGGAACCTTCCAGGTTGCCCAAGATAGTTTTCACACTTTTGAAACTCATTGGATCCAGAAGTTTGTTGGTTTAGACAGACAACCTCAAGAATTGGAATCAGTGACTGATCCGGCCGACCCACCGCCCCTTGCCACCACGCATCACATCTGATGCGAAGCAAAGCTCACCTTCAGTTTGCTACAAACAAAACACACCACTGATCCACGATGGAACGGTTCACCATGCTTCTAGTCATCCATGCTCCTATGGCAGCATCCTCATGACCCAAAGCGCCCTCAGCCCTCTTGGCGACTACCTGTGGCCTTCGTGGTCCGGATGGCACCCATGATCCGTCTTCTCTTTTAGACAACCATCCGAGGGTCCAGGTGGTGCAATGCTCTGCATCGCGGCCCATGCGAAGATTCTTTTAAGGACAAGGCTTCTGGCCAGTGCATGCGTCAGTTTGGCGTCCCCGTAAGGTTTCTCCTGAAACAAACTCATTTGGAGATATTTGGAGCCGCATCTGAACACAATGATGGTCACTTTCTTGCAAATGTCTGTCTCGAGAGTGGCAGAGTCACAAATCTTGAAGCGTGCAATTCTGCAATTGAGAATGGAGGCTATTGCTATTAGGTTGGAGGTCATCGCTAGTAGGTTGGAGGCCATTGCCTTTGACAAGTGATCTCCAGATCCGTCGGCGGACAGACCTGTGACATGTCGGTCATCGCCCGGGCCCGATATTTGACAGTCATCCCTTCCACTCATCGCGGTGTTAGTATGGCTTGAGTGAGTGTCTGTTACTGGCCGAAACCTGCCGCAACTTGAGGGCGGCTTCAAACTCAGTCTTTGCCATGGCCACTGCTGCCTCTTTGTGTCCTAGACTGCTTGTGGCTTGAACTTCCTTGGACATCCGAAACCCAACCGGCGAAACCTTCGCCGAAACCCGCGGGCACTGCGTTGGGTGCGAAAAGCCGAGCGCAGGCAGCTGGCCGCACTTGGATGAACGCTACTTGGAGGGCCGCCGCAGACATGTCCTGGAAGAGCGCCTGGGTCGCGGTTCCGCGCCTTCCGCGCTGCGGTACGCGGAAGAACGGGTCCTGGCGACCGGAACGACAGACCGAGGCGTCGGCGGTCAAAGAACCCAAGGGACGCAGAGGAAGTGACGGTGGGTTTGCTGGGTTTGACGGCACTGATGTTCACAGCCTGTGACCAGGGGTGTTGGGTGCTGTTGATTGAAAGACAAGCTGGCAGAAGTTCACACTTGGCTGGCAGAAGTTCACAGCTCGAAGACCCACAGTTGACCTGGTGACATGGTATTGGACAGCAAGTGGTAGAACATGCTAGACCCACTATAATAGTGTTAGACCTATATAGTTGCGATACTCGCGCCTCGCGGAGCATAAGCATCGCGCCCCAAGCATCGCGCAGTGGCATGCGAGATGATTTGAGGTTCAACTTTCTGAAGAGCCTCCATGACAAGTCGGCCACGGTTCTCGTGGTGGGCGCCGGCTTCATCGGCGTGGAGTGGGCCACAGAGATTCGGCATTTTTTCCCCAGGGTGCCTGGGATGCAGACCTGGAGGAGATGAACCTCACAAGCCTCACAAGGTCGCCATGGGATCTGAACTGCTCAGTTTTTCTGATGATGTTCGGGTCAAAGCTGATCCCAAAACACCACAGGGTCGAAGAAAGAACACCAGAGGGTCGAAGACCATCTGATTTGGCATGGCCTTGGAATCCAGAATCCAGCTCATCCGAACAGGAATTAATTAAGCCTGACAAACTACTGTATCTGAAGTGGAGTTAGTGCCTGAACCTGAGCTATAGGAAGGTGCCTCCCTTGATTCCCCCAAGACACGCGCTCGGCCCTCATGAATTCGTACTCTGAGGTCAAGTCTTGACCACTGATCATCAATCCTTTATTCGTCGTCATTCAGACTACAAAATTCCATTCTTCCTCCGCGCCAAACATGGAGGGTCTACTTACTTCCTGGCTTTCTGGGGCCTAACCTATTCAATTTCAGGACTCCAAATTGGAAGGGTTACCATATCTTGGCGCTGTTTTTGGGCACCCAGGTGAAGTTGACCATCATCGATTTCTTGCCTCAGCCCTTGGGCCCCCTCCCTGCCACAGCGGCGAAGTATTGCGATGCTCGGGGCGAATTGGCGCTTCGGGCCGAGGGTGGCTTTCTTTTTGCGGCATTCAATTCATTTCGGCTTGTTCTTTTCCAGGATAAAGCCACATATAAAGCCTCAAGCCATGGAACCTGCTTTTTGTAGTATCTTACATTCATCTACTATATGTCCTGGCCCGTTTCGATCTCGTTGCAGCGTCGTTCTCAAGACTCTTCAAGTGGAGCTGGTTGAAAGGTGAACGACACGCCGAACGACACGCCGTGAAACCGAGTCGCACACCGAGTGTCGCGGCCCTGTGTCGTGCGACGAAACGGCCCCTGAGTCTCCGGAACACGTGGCGACGAAAACGGAGTCTGAGACCTGGACTCGAATCTGCAGTCGACTTCGCCAGGCCGGGAACCGGTCTGACCCGACACGAAGCTTTGTTGCAAGGTCATGGGAGACGAAGCTGGCTTACACTCCAGCGGATTGAAGTTGCATGAGGGTCTTGTCCAGTCCTGGCATTCAGAATCAACCCGCCGCAACCAAAAAAACACACACACAAGGCAAAGCACTGTGGCCACAGAACTTAGGAGAAGTACATGAACAAGGTTGGCATCAAGCAGTTCTACAACACCAAGTACGATGCCAAGAACCCTGAGTTCTGGAAGAGCATTGATATGGTTAGTGGACCCGACAAGGAGTACGTGTGCATTGGTGTGAAGGCGTCCAACTACTTCATGCCAAAGGAGACCTTGAGCGAGAAGGGACCTGGTGGCGGAGGTTGGATTCTGATGGCGGCGTCCTCAGCATGCAGTGTTCAATCAAGAGAATGGCGCATGAATTGTTTGCGTTACCAAACCATACCCAGTGGATCCACTTATATACCATACATCCACTATATATATATATAAGCCACAGGTTCCAAAGACTACCAGGTCTTGACTTGGACCTAGAAACATCTAGAATCTAGAAACTAGAATAAACTATATAGATGAATCAGGATTCACATTTTGACTGGACTCTTGTGTGTTTTGACGTGCAAATCGTGGCCTAGAACCAGAACTTGTCCGTCAAGACTCGCGATGGCAAGCTTTGGGGTGCGGATGACAAGGGCTTCCCCCGAATCTATGCTGTGGGCGATTGCAACTATGGGTGCATTGAAGAGGCAGGCAAGAAGCCAGACGATTGGCCGCTTCCACCCATCCCAAAGATCTCCTACCCAGGTGAGGAGATGTGCATCGTGGCCTGCACCAACATTGAGAAGATAGATAGGCTACTCTTCCAGAGCAAGACGGTTGATTGCTGCGGAGACCCATTGAAGGTTTGGGACATGCACTGGCCATGGGGTGCCGGGATGTTCGCCACATCCTTGGGCCCAGATGACGCTTGCTTCGTGGCTGGCGCCAATTGGCAGAAGAACTCCGGCCTCATGTGCGTTTGGGGTCAGGTTTGCGCCGTGCAGAAGGAGTTCATTGAAGCCTCCAAGACGGATGCTTGGACAGCCTCAGCGGGTCACTGCCTCAGCGTGTCCTCTTCTCCAAGACTGATGACTCTTCAATGGGAGGTCTAGTAACTCTATATACCAAATGCGAGTGGCCCTAATGAAGGTTGGATGAATCTTGATTCTAATATTTGGACAAGTGCAACAGTGTTCTTACAGAATCTCCACCGCTCTTGGGGTAGCAACTTGTCGGTGCTAGATACATACTGCATCATTCTGCATACCCTGGGCAGACCCACCTGGGATGAGCTGGGACAGACCCACCTGGGCGAACCGGAACGCAGTCGGTGGGTCCGAGGTCGGGGTCCGAGGTCGGGTCCGAGCGAGAGGAAGCCGTTAGACGAGGCAAACGAAGAACAAACGAAGAAAAGACCACCCACCAGTTTGGTCGGACAACCATCGGGAATGATGAATCCCTTTTTTCTATACAATTTAAGAGGATTGAGTACACCTCTGGCTGTCCAGTGACTTACAAAGATGTGCAGTTTTAATCTTTGAGTTCAAAGCACCCACTCCTGGCTCGCAAGGCATATCTAAAGAAGCATGATCACTTGCATTTTTGCGAAGCTCCAGGGTCCAATGTTTGACTCGAAACTGAGGATGAGTGCGCTTATGGCTTTATTGGCCGCTGCATTTGGTACTTCGTCCACCACACGCCTGTGCACCTCTTTGGAGGTGGACCACGCTGGGGATACTGAGCCCTCCCGCTGCAGCGCGACCTGCCAGTTAAGGCAGCCGGCAATCTAGTGTATCTTAGGGCCTTAGGGGATCCCAGAATTCTGGCAGATGTAGGCAGGTAAGACTCCTAGCCTACTAGTTGTGCTGATGTGCCTAGTTTGCATTAGTTTGCGTAGCAGACTAGCAAAGTCTTTCTTGTTTTCAGCGGAAACTGGGATCCGTCATCAAGGGAATGATGCGATCTTATAAATTTCTCCTCATTTAGGCTCAAGAAGTTGTGTTTGATGATTCCAGATCAATGTGTGAGACATGTGACATTGACAATAAACATCAAAAAGTAAGCTATATATTATATACTGTAAATTAATTAGTATTTTATTGTTGGATTTTTGTATAATACAGTACAATATCTTATAGTTACGTGTTTGTCAAGTGTGCACACACTTGGATTCAATAAAAGGCTTGAGCCTTCACGGAGCTTGGTTTCCCTTCAAGGGGATTTGTGAAACAACGCTCCCAGCGACCAAAGTTTTGACAATCGATTCAGAAAAGCGAAACAACGTGCGACCGAGACGATCGTGAGGATCGGTGCCGGTGCCGGGTGAGTTACGGCCTGCGGCCCTGCCAAACACACGAGCTCGGTAAGGGTGACCGTCGGGTGAGTCTTTTCTCTGCTGATCGTGTCGACATCGATGTGCCCTGCTTGTGATTTGGATGAAGTTCTTTGGTCCTTGGCGGAATTGGAGGTCCATATCACTTGATTGCTGGTCAGTACTTTCTAACAGTGACTAGCAACTACAGCTTGGAGCGGCTTCTTGTGACTACGTGAACTGTTTCATTCCTTCACAGCTTCTGGAACCGGGCTACCTCGACCCGCGAGTCACCTGCGGTCCCGCTCCGGGCTCGAACAGTGGGGTTTAGATTTTTTGATCGTTCTGGACCCGAACGTCGCCATGCCTCCTTCACAGCCGGGGAGCCGAGGGTGGTTTTTTCACGTCCGGTGAAAGCAGTTCGTGACGGACGCTGCTTCATGGTTGGGTAGCGGGTATGTATGCATACATAGCGCATATACAGCATATAGTTTTTGGGTGTGTTTGTTTGTTTGTTTGTTTTTGTAGTGTATTTGCTTTTTCCGAGGAGCAGCCGCCAGCCACCACCCAGCCCTGCGGAACGCCGGCTTTTTCCGGGTGGTCAGGTATAACCCCCGTGGTCCTTGAGCGTCGCAGCGTCACGTGAAGCGTCGAAGCCAATGACATAGTGACCGACCTGGTTCAGTTGATCTGTTTAACAAGCTGATGACTGGCTGAGACACTGGACGTGGGTCTCGCGGATTCCGTGAACCGCTTTAGAAGAAACATGAAGCCGATGTGAAGAACAAGTAATGATGGAATGTGTGTGTGCTTTCACATGCTTTCTCACTGGCAGCTCTCAACACCTGGCAGGTGTTGTTCCTCTCCTTGTGGAGGTTATATAGTATAACCCTTATTTTCCAGGGAAACGGCTCGGGAGTCAGGTGCGTTTCGGTGGCAGGTCCCTCAAAAGGGATCTGACCCAGTCTTGCCTAACTTGCCGGGCAAGTTAGTCGGGACCCAGAGGGTCAAAGAAACTCGCTAAGAAGACAGTGGTCTAACTGCACTTCTAACTGCAAGTGACCTCATGATGGTCATGTTGTTTATGTTCTTAAATCTATGGGGGGAGTCTATGGTCCTGGTCGCCACAAAGGTCATCTGGTCCCCAACAGGTCATCTGGTCAATGGTCACTTGGAGGCGCCGAGTGCTGATCATCGGCGGAAGCTTCTCCGGCTTGGCGGCGGGCCGCGACTTGGGAAGTCACTACTTGGTGGCTTGGCAAAAATAGAGGGAAGGCTGGGTGAGGTACTGTTGTTGTAGAACCAGTACTGGTCAGTGGTGGTGGTGGTTTCTAGTAGTGGTCGCGTGGTAGTAACACGATTTCGATCAGCCATTCATTAAACATATATTTTATATATATATATATTTAATATTTTTTCATATATGTATGCACATACAGTCATTGCAGTAAGTACATTTGTCATCTTATATTGAATTTCAGCTGTTTTGCCGGCTACAGCTGGTGCGCTACTACAGAAATTTCATACAACACCATACAACTGCCATGTTCCTTCCTCAGTTGCAGCTTTCTGACCCCTTGCCTCACATGCGATTCTTTTCTATTTAAGGCCTTTTGCCATTTGCAACTTTTAAGAGCTGCAGCTTCCAGCAACAATGAACAAGCTCCACAACATTGCGCACACGAGTCTCAGCTGTGTATTTCAACAAAGGGAGACCCCCTTTGATCGTTCTCCCTCGCTAGGTAGACTGGTCTATGTCCCTTCACCGAACTCAGGGGGTCTCGGTCTGTCCTCTCTTGTCTGGTCTCCCATGTCACGTCTCGCTCCACGGACGGAGCTGGTCGTCCTCGTCACACGAGCGCTTTCCCGGATCCATCGGGCGCCGTTCGATCCCTTTGGTCCGAGGTGACCATCATTGATGCGAAGGAGTGGATTTCGGCGATTGACTGTGTTTTGTTTCGATTCGCGTGCAGGTGGTGTTTGTTTGCTGGTCTCAAAGACCTTATAGGATTCTAAGAATGTGTTCATGTTCTCTTTTTTCCTGAACTCATTTTTGGAGAAAGGTGATAGATCAGTGAGGCGGCTTGCCACGTTCGAGTGTTTCTTGTGTTTTCTTTCAATGGCAAAAAGGGAGGATTGGTCTGTCTTGAAACCTACTTTCTGGCCGGTATTGCCAATGCTAGAAAAGAAAGGGACCTGAGAGTCAGAGGGTGAAAAGGAGTCCCACCTGTGATGGTGGAATCAGTTGTGACCAGCAAGGTGAGTTCAAGGTTCCGTGAAACAACTTTTGGGGATCTGATTTTCTTACCACATGAACAAGTGTATAAATATGTATATGAACATAGAACACCACATAACTTATACCTTGGCATGTCTGTTCGCTTTGTGCACGAACATCGAATTTAAAGGGAGGGCTGGCTGTTTTTTTTTGTCTGGATTGCAGTACTACAGGGTCGTACTGAAAATGCCAGATTGTCCCTATACAGCAGTTATTGATTACTCAACACAATCAGACGGATCACTGGCATGCCGTGGTGGTTTGCTGGGTTCACTAGAGAACGAAGCGGATGATTTCAGATGTTCCATGGACATGTTGTAATATCCATGTTAGTTCTTAGACTCATCATCCACTCACCCGGGCTTAAGCATCCACTCACCCGGGCTTAAGCATCCACTCACCTGGGCTTAAGCATCCACTCACCTGGGCTTAAGCATCCACTCACCTGGGCTTAAGCTGAGTTTCAGGTCGACTCGGGGTTTTTCGACTTCTCTGCGCAGCAGCCGGAAACAAGAACGTGCGAGGAGTATTTCGAATACACCCCGGGAGTGTTGCGCGCCTATGTGAAGCCAAAGCACTTGGACGCACTGACCTTCACCCTGCAGCCCGTGATCGAGGCAGAGTCTTGATATTGCCTTGATTCTTGAAGGTTGTCACTCGATATGTCTTGATTCTTGAAGGTTGTGATTATCTTTTCTTTTTGAATGTGATGAATAATCAGTATATGCATGCATGTTTGTATGTGCGTATGAGTCCTCGGAAAATGATCGCATCAGTGTCAGGTGTTCGGCAGAGTCGTGTCAGGTGTTTCTATCGAAAAGCCAACCTCCAAGAGACAACACCAATGCACCACGCGCCATGCACACCCCACCAATTTAGTCCCTTAGGATCGATCATAAGGGGTCATTTTGTTGGGGGACCAATTCACATCCCACCAACGAAGGGCAGAAGACCACGAAGCCACCGGTTGCGCCATTTGGGGATGGGAACATCAACAAAGCTTCTCGACATAGACCATCAAATCCCACAAGACACAGGTCTCAATGTGGTTGGTGGGTCTATGGCTATGTTCATGACATCAATGATTTTCCCCTCACATAGACCCACAATTGATGCCAGTCCTTTGCTACTCCCTTGGGAGTCCTTTTGATCGACCAAACGGGACAGCCGCGAACTTCCCGCCAGACGCGCATGGGCTGCAAGTTCATCTGGGGCGAAGTGAAGGAGCGGCATCACCTCGCGAAGTGAAGGGGTTCGGAGGCCGCGATTTTTTCATCTTGGGGCTGCAGTGCAACTTCAACAGGAACATCTGCTGTGCTCCCTGCCAGGTCTGACTAGTTGAGGGTTGGGCCCCACTGCAGGTGTCGAACTCATTGGTGACCTGCTTCTTGAGGGTCCTGGAATTCTCATCGCAGACCGTTTTGCCACACCGTGCGGCGCACACCTTCTGCGCCACGCATGGCTCTAGACAATGATCTGGCATCCACTGTGGTTGTAGAGCGAGGAGTGGGCCATGTCCCCGGTTCTCCCCTTTGGGGGCGGAGGAAGAGGTGGAGCAAGAGGTGGAGCTTGGTGCCGGGAAATGGAGGGGATCCACAGCAACTACCAGACGGCTTTTAAGGTAGATGAAGCCATGGCATCTCTTCCTAAACGATACTAGTAGCGTTCTTGTTACTAGTAACAGGTGCCACGCTAGTAGTAACAGGTGCCTTACTAGTAGTAACAAAAAGCTATTAGAATTAAAATTCTATATAGTATCTTTTTTTGTATATGCGACCCCCGCCGGGACCTACCTTTTTGAGCTTGCAAGGCACATTGTAGAGCCGTGTACAGGTGTGGGTGACGAGCATTTATTGTCATATCTTCTTGATTGTTTTGCTTTTACAACTGTCGCAGGTTTTAGACCCTTCAGGAAATATCTCTAGTGTTCTGTTATTCTGACATCCTTTGCAATACTGTTTAGTAGTATCCATTACCTAGTATATATCTCTTTAAATACGTTTTGACATGTTATACACAATAAGCAGTTATATTGCGTAACTATTCATTTAAACCGACCATTACATCTATGACAGTAAGCTGCAATTGATACATTAGCAATTTTTTGAATATCTATTGTAAATCCACATCCACAGTAATTACATTGTTTGGTTAAATTTTCCATAAACCATTGGACATTAATATAACCTTCCTTAGGCATTTCTTTTTTACCCTTTCTATCCTGTATTGTATATTGTTCAACCCGCCTATTCAAAAAGCTTGTGATACATCGTTGATTCAATTCATTTTCAGTATCATCACTGTATAAAAAAGAAACTTTACTGTGCTTAAATCCCTAGCTCGTGTGATTGCTGTCCAAAGCTGCTCCCTATAACTTCTTATCACAAAGTGGTAGTAATCGAACATACTAATATCACCATCTATACTAACCTTGGGCAGACTGACAAGTTAAGCGCGAGGCAACTATGATTTTTTTCCATACACAATCTTTGTTCCCCCTTGACCTCCTGACTTTGAATATTTTCTAGATTAAAATGTATCACACACAGCTACCATTGTCCTTTGCAATACTGCTACTGTTTAGTAGCATCCATTACCTAGTATATATTCAATAGGGAGGGCCATTTATTTTTTTTTTGTGTTTCCTTTTTTGGATCTTTTTTTGTTTTTCGTGGCTTCTGGCTTCTGTGGCTTCTGGCTTTTGTGGCTTTTGGCTTTCGTGGCTTTTGTGGCTTTTGGCTTTTGGCCTATCCATATATCTGTCTATATCTATCTGTCTATATCTATCTATTTATCTATCTATCTATCTTTCTTTCTTTCTTTCTTTCTTTTTGGCAGCTGTTCTCCTTTCTCTTTTTGCATTTGCTTTTCCTGTTGTTTTCGTTGCAGAGACGAAACCAAACAAGGAAGCAAGCAAGCAAGCAAGGAAGCAAGCAAGCAAGCAAGCACGAGCTGATCACCTTTGGATCTGGTGTGCTGCTGGGGGGGGCGCTGCGCCCCCCCTAACCCCCCCCGCGCCACGAAATCTGCACTTCATCCCCGACACCCGCGCCTGCCACGAAATCAGTATTTTAAGGTGAACTCCCCGGTGCAAAACTTTCTAACCAAGCAAATATGCCTCTATCTATCTATCTATCCATCTATCTATCTATCCATCTATCTATCTATCTATCTATCCATTTATCTTTCTATCTTTCTATCTTTCTGCAGTTCAACATCCACAAAGTACTGCACCCGCCACGAAATCTGCACTTCAAGGTCCACAAAGTCTTGCGCCTGCCACAAAATCTGCACTCCAAGGCCCTGCACCTGCCACCAACTCTACACTTCCACATCCACAAAGTCCTGCATCTGCCACGAAATCTGCACTTCAAGGTCCACAAAGTCCTGCGCCTGCCACAACATCTGCACTCCAAGGGCCACAAAGTACTACACCTGCCACGAAATCTGCACTTCAAGGCCCACAAAAAGTCCTGCGCCTGCCACGAAATCTGCACTTCAAGGCCCACAAAAAGTCCTGCGCCTGCCACAAAATCTGCACTCCAAGGCCCACAAAGTTCTGCACCTGCCACGAAATGTGCTTTGCAAGGTCCAGAAAGTACTGTACCCGCCACGAAACACGAAAAAAGAAAAATCAAAAAACAACAAAAAATCGAAAATTAAGTCGCGGCCCATTCAATAGTATTCCCACTATTTCTTCGAATGTTTGTTTATACAACATTTTTTACTTTAAAAGACTATTCATTTACAATTACTATCGCATCTATCACAGTAAGCAATGCAACTGATACATTACCCTCTGCTTAAATCTATTTTAAGTCCACATCCACAGTAATTACATTGTTTGGCATGGTTATGCTGTCTATAAACCATTGGACATCAATGTAACCTTCCTCAGGTACTTCTCTTTTACCCTTTGTATCCTGTATTGTATATTGTTCAACCCGCCTATTAAAAAAACTTGTGATACATCATTGATTCACATTTTCAGTATCGTCACTGTATATAAACTAAACTTACTGGTGCTTAATCCCCTAGCTCGTGTGATTGACGTCCACAGCCATTCCCTATAGTTTTGTTTGTCAGTATTTTCTGCAGATTAGCCTTTCTCCTTTTTCATTCGCATATATCATATTTCCTATTTTTGAAGTTGCCTGATTTCATTAGATACATTTTTGCAAGTGTACTTCAGAAAGGCAATGTTATACTTAGAACAACTCATGTAGAGTCAGTTGTACATGAAAAAAATATGTCTCAACGGTTTCTGTAAATGAACCGTTTTGAGGAAAGATGTCATATTTCATGTTGTATATGTTGGTTCTATCATTTTCTTGTTTCAGGCTTCGGGTTTCAGATGGTTTCAGGAACTGCGCAAACTTTGCAAGCATTTTGGATTTCACGATTCTTGGGAATCGTTCTTGAACCCAAGCTCTGACTGACATCCAGCACCCCAACATTCAAGGGCTTGGATTCAAAAACTTTTCCCCAGAATCTTGAATCCAGAAAAATTGTAATCAAGATTATGTTTTGCCTCTTGCCTGTCAGGTTCATCGTTAGGTTCATCGTTCAAACAGTTTCTTCAAAGCTTGACGTTTGATGGCAGATTCAACCACCGAGTCTTCAAAGCCTGACGTTTGGTCATGACTTCAACCGTGCCATTGATTGTGGCTCAAGACGCGTGAAAAAAGGGCGCGTTGCATTTTGCTGTGCATTTTGCATTCCCATGTC